TTACAGGGTATATCAGATGAGGTGTTTGTTAGCCTAGCAGCAATGTTACCAAGTGTTTTCAGGGTTTCTAATCCATTGGTCTTTAAAGCCTCTTCCACTCCCATTACTCCTAAAAGCAATTGATAAAAATTATTTTTCCATTTATTTTACACTAGCAAAAGCATTATTTTTAAATTCATTTCCTGCATTCCAACCTTGCTGTATAGAGGTAGAGGCTTTGTGCTCAGTGTGGTGTAATCTACTTCACTTGCATCTTTAAATGTCACTTTCGCCATCATAAACCTACATTCAAGTCCTCCATCTCACCAAACTGAGTCAAGTAAAGAATGGACATTCCTCAGTGTAGCAAACTTTGTTTGTACTATGTTTTGTGTGGTTCTGTTTATACAACCCCTTGCAAGTGATAAAGAGGTTTCTATCTATTTCGTTCAAACATACCTAGTTGTACTGTGTTGTGTGTACGGTCCCTTGCATGTAAAAAGTAGGTTTCTATCTTTCGTAGAATATTAATACTGTATTATGCCTTCCTGGCTGATAAAAATCTTGCTCGATGTTATTTAAATGCTTTTAATACAGTCAGTTTTGACACCATTGAAGGCCCCCTTTTTTTTTTTTTTTTTACAGATATTGTCATCTCTTCCATACTGTGATATTTCTACCATTAAAGAATAGTTATTCATTTTGGCACTGCTAATTATTACTGCACAAATGGATTTGTTTTGTATTTTCAATTTATTGTAATGTGATACGTGTTCAATAAAATTAATATGTATTGACATATGTTTCATTGTTATTTTCCTTATATCAAATGTTTATCAGGGAGCTGATACCAGCAAACAAGGCAAGAGCTGAGAGAGACAGAGAGACTTTGTTTTGGGCGTTTTCGGGCCTTCAGGCAACGACCCTACGCCTCATCTTGAGAACACATTATGTCGGCTATACATTCAGTATTTAAAAAGTCGCGCCTCAAGAGAAGGGTGTCTTCCTATCCTGTTTGCGGTAACGGTCAATAATCGGTCACACATAACCTGTTGCAGAGGATGGCAGGAGGTTGGTTGTTATTAGAATGGGTTCTGCTTGTACCTGGTAACGGGTATCAACAAATTTTAAACATAAGTTCTAAGATTTAAAATTGTATGGGCTTTCCTTCTTTTAATTGTGGAATAATGAATGTTCCATTGTTAGTGGAATGAGGACCTTTTATGCCTTGTATTTACTCCAACGTAAACCGGTAAGGAGTTTTAAATACTTCATTCGCGTACCTTTGTTGTTTAGCCGATTGTTGTCAGTTGGAAGATTTCGACTCACAATATTTCTTTTGTTTCTGCATGTTTAATTTGCAAAACTTTGTCGCAATGCAATGCAGTTTAAAATTGAGACCAACCGACCCCCGCACATCTTGTTCCTTTCTGAAGCTACCAGGTCATAGTTCAGAGCAGAAGCCTATTCTCCAACCATCACTCTTGTCTTCCCATTTTTGAAATTCTATCAAAAATTTGTTTGTACTATCGCCTTAACCCCCCGCCCTCCCTCTCTCTAGATTGCCATAGAATTCATCAACGATTTCAAATACCTTTCTCATAATATCCAAGGTTTTTGAGCTAAGCATAAAGAGACTTCATCTGGATTGTAATGATGTATTTCAGAAAAACTCATTCTGTTTTTAAAATTTTAGATCAAGAGATGTGGTACAGATGAGATTATTCAGTCACACAGAAGCCTAATTTTTTGAAACTTATCACCTTTACAATGGCCTCCGGCACTGATATCGAAAGCTTCATGGAAGGACCCCTCGTCACCTGGGTAAGGACTTAATTACTTTGCGGTGCTGTCTCTTAAGACGAGCTTTCTTTTGCAAATCTCACTTCATATTTATTCTCCTTTATTTATAGCTGAAATCGTGTTTAGAAAGTCCCAAATGTATTATGAACTATGAAGATTTAATAGATGGTATGGTGATCCACGAAGTAATGCTCCAAATGTATGTAGTTTAGTACCTACTAAGACTGATAGTTTAATGTTACACATCTATACTATAAACTTTATTTCAAAGCAAACTTTTTTTTCAAGAAACCCTGAGCCAGAGCATGATGGAGTAATGCCCAGCATGGGAAATCCTGCTACTCGAATTCGAAACTTAGATATTATTTTAAAAAATATGAAAGCTGTGTATGAGGTATGACCGATTATATTCTCTTGCCTTACTAAATTAACATTATTTTATCATACACATTGGTTTTGTGAAAATACAGGAGGAGCTCTGTCAAACCCTGCTTATGGTACCAGATTGTGTTGAGATAGGTCGACACCATGAATCTAAAGCTGGGCTTGAAAACATGCAATTGTTCTTGTTACTACTTTTGGGTTGTGCTGTGCAATGTCCTAATAAGGAGCGATTTATTTATCATATAAAACAACTCAGCGAGGACACTCAACATGACATTGTTGATTGTATTAAGCAGGTTTGTAAATATGTTTTCATCGTTTTTGACTCAAGTGGTTGTTTGCAAAATTATCCATAGCCCACTCATACTTAAACTTCTTATCAGGTCACAGACTCACAACGAGTTGTTCTTTCACCTGACACAAGCGAAGAAAATTTCCCTGCGGATTTGATGATGAATCATGTTCGCAGGCTTATCAAGGAAAGAGATGCATATCTTCAGGTACTAACTTTTTAATTAAAAGAGAAAAACCTACTTGAAATAATCCATAAGCCCAAAACTAACTATGACCTTTTATACCAAGCAATGGCTGAATGCATCAGTCCAGGAGAGAGGGGACACTAGTGCCAGCTCAAACAACTCAACTGTTTTGCAAAATGACTCACCTCGCAGACAAACTTCTCAGATGATCGGCAGTGATTCCCATCATCTTGCAGTTGAGTTGGCTGACTGGAAGTCTCGATTAAGAAAACAACGGCAAGAACTGTACGTCCTATTGATTCAAACTATATATTAAAATCTGAACTGTAATTGTAATTGCCAACTGTCTTTGCTTTCCTTTTATGTTAATGTCCTCTTAATATTCCAGTCTAAGATGCCTTAGATAAACATTGTTCTCATTGTTTAGGGAAGAGAAGTCAGAAGCTTTAGCAGAGAGTAAAGAGGAAGCAGAACATCATAAATTGGTTGTCGCCAAACTACGAAATGAGGTTTTACATTTTAAAATTTCTTAATCTTATCTTTTGATACATTGTTGTTAAACAAGCCTATTTATTGGGAGAGCATAATGGTTTGAAAACTTTTGTACAGATTCAAGATTTAATGCAAGAAGCTCGGTCAGCAAAGCTTTACAGAGATGAGTTGGATGCAATACGTGAGAGAGCAGAAAGAGTTGATAAATTAGAATCAGAAGTACAACGTTACCGGGAGAAGCTGAGTGACATTGATTTTTACAAGTCTCGTGTGGAAGAGCTAAGAGAAGATAACAGGTACAAGTTCAAAATTTTTACGAATTGATTGTGGTACTATTTAAACACACATAATTATTTGGAATTCTTTCTTGTGTAGAGTGTTGATGGAAACTCGAGAGATGCTAGAGGAGCAGCTTCAAAGTTCCCGAAAACGTAGTGAGCATGTCTTAGACTTGGAAAATGAACTCATCAAATGCAAAAAGCAGATAAATGAAATGGGATTGGTAAGTCGGTTTACTTTTCACTTGATCTTTTCTTTGTTTTTTTTTTTTCTTTTTTGCTAAGGCATTGCTTATTGTTTTGAAAGCATGGCGAGCTTTATTTAATTCATGACATATCAACTATGTTTTTAGGATCAAGAAGCTATTCAAGAAAGATTGCAAGAAGCATTTGAAGAAAACAAAAGATTACAAATTTTAGCTAAGAATACAATAGCAGATAATGCCCTTGACAACAACGTGCTGGAGGAGACAATGCCTGAGGGTTCGAATGACAACAGTTTGTCGGAACAGTTGAGTAGCAACGCTCAAGCACGTGCACTGCGTTTGGAATTAGAAAATCGAAGGTTACAATCCGCAATGGATAATCTTAAAGAGTCATCATTCCTTGAAAACAGCAATAAAATATTGGACCTGGAAAAAGAAAAGAAAAAGCTATCTATGAAGGTATTACATAGTTTCATAATTTCATATTGTGAAAATTTTGGTGCAACTCAATGTGACTAAATTATTTAACGCAATTTCATTTTTGTTTTTCTTAAGGTGGAACAGTTGCAGGAAAATATAAACAGAATGCAGCAGCAAAATTCTGAGTTAGAAAAGTTAGTCAAGGATGCATTACAAGATAATATCAAACTACAAGAATCTCGTGAGTCTTTCCGGTGCCGCACTGAGAAGTTAGATCAAGAACTGCAGGTCAGTAACTGTTGAATTATTACAAAAATTAAATTGAATCAACTAATTCAAACTAAATTTCAATGTCTATTCACCATAGGTTGAGCTAAGTCGTAGGGGAAATGCCGAGCATTTGGCTGAAAATTTGTCAAAAGAAAAACAATGGCTACAGAACTCTTATGACAGTCTTCAGCGTAAAGCAGAAGAGTTAGAAAGAGCTGTTGAAAGTGCTTCTCAGTTGGCTGATCGAAATCGTTTAGAGCTTCAACGCATTCCAGAATTGCAGAGACACATAGCTGAAGCAGAGAGCAAATGTCAAATGCTGGAAAGAGAGCGTCAAGTTTCACTAAGAGAAATTTCTAAGTTAAAAGAGGTCCTTGAAACAAGAGATGTGACTCTTGACAAGCGTGCAAATGAAATTGAATGTCTAGTGAAGGAAGCAACAAAATTAAACAAAGATCTAGAAGAAGCAAAGACACTTATCATCAGGTACTTTTTACGTCTAAAATTACTTGGCAATGACTTGAATAGGTCTAATTGTACCGTGTATCTTTATTTTATTTGCTTAAAATGTAGACTTCAGGAAGTTGAGAGAGAAGGACAAGATGTGGCATCCAAAGCTGCCTTAGACCGTGAGGCGCTAACTGCACTTCAGGGGGACCTAGTGGCTGAGAAAATGTGTGTCCGTCAAATCAAGGGCAGCCTCGAGCGTATTGGCCTCACGCTTGAGCAATTGCAAGATCCAGACAATGTTCTTGATAAGTAAGTTCAACTTTGTACTCTTCATTTGTAAATAGTCATTTTCTTAAAAAATTTGAAAAAATTTCAATTTCAATTTTTTTGTTTCAATCTGTTGCCCTTGCAGTATTTTAACTAGTGCAGAGGTTCAGCGAGCTGCATCCGAAATGCTTGGGAAAATTAAAGAAGATGTTTGTAATACACATAAGTCAGAAAATATTGTAATTGAGCAAACTAGGCAGGATTTAGTAGAACAGGGTGTTGTTTGTCAATGTGAAGACCTCCGCTCTGAGGTGGCAAGTTTGCAGTCTGTAGCAGAATCTGCCCACTCTGATAATGCTCGCCTTCAAGTTCATGTGGCAACTCTTCAAAGTCGTGTGTCAGCTTTATCTGCCCAACACACTGCACTGCAAGTTGCCAACACTCAACTTGTGGCTGAAAAAGATGAGGTTTGTAAACTTCTGAATCATCATTCTATTAATGATCACCGTATAATGTATTAATGTTATAACTATATTAACATTTGAAAACTTTGAAACATATCAGCTTTTAAAGCAAAAGAGTGAACAGCAACAAGCTCATGAACAACTCTTACTAGATCAAGTTACTCTTCAATCCCTTCATGAACAACTGACTGGAGACTATGAAGCACTTGTGAATGAAAGACAGACCCATTTAACTGTACAAAGGGATCTGCGCTCTGAGTTGAGGCTTTTGAGGGAAAGGTGCGCACTTCTTGACCAGCAGACTCAAAGTGAGAAGGATTCTCTCAAAGAAGCATCGCGATCGCTTGGAAATCTCCGTGCTGAACACTCCAAGCTGAAAGTGAGTACTTTTTAAACAGCCCCTTGTGGCTGTCTCTACCTGGAGATAAAGTTTCCTGTTTTGATGTAGATTCCCAATAGCCAAGCCCAGCATGGGGAAGCTTGGGTGCGCAGTGCTCATTTGCAAGTGGGTGTCACTGTATATATCCTTTTTTTCTTAGGATGATTTTCGTAACTTATTCACTGCTAGTGAAAAGCAAAGAATGGATTTCAGAGGAATTCAAGATGAACACAAACTGCTACGTGCTGAAAATGCTGAGCTCCGAATAAGACAGACTCAACTCCAAGGCGAATTGGCCAGCCAACTAGACCATATAAATTCTGTTGAATTGGAGCTCTCAAAATTAAGGAATAAGTGTGAGGTAAGCAGGCATCATTGACTCCTTAAATCTATAGATCTAACAATATTGAATCTAGTGTCTTTTATTTTTGTCATTGTATTCTTACAACTTGCTATCAGATGCTGCTGCAGATGAATACTGGCTTAGAAGAAGATCGCCGTTCTCTTATGGAGCATGTGACACAGCTGCTAAGCCAGTATCAAGAGCTTCTAAACCATTCACTTGAAGACAAAGAACACTACCATTTAGAGGAGAAAATGTATACTGACAAATTAAATAATTTGCATAGACAAAAGGAAAAACTAGAGGAAAAGATAATGGAACATTACAGACGCATGGATAGTTGTTCCACAAAGAAAAGAAGTTTTGGTGCAAGCTTAGTAAAGAAAGTCAAGAAAGCAAGCTCAGATCTCATCAATAAGGTATTTTATATCTCTTAATCATCTCACTTTATACTTTTGTGACCTATCCAAGCAAATTCATTCCACATTTCTATCTGCCTTTCTCTCCCTCTCAGACAAGCTCTGGTGACAGCCCAGTTCCTATATATGCTATTTACTCATCACACACTCCTTTAAGTTCAATAAATGACCCATATGTTTGAATTTTTGGCTTGAAATTATTGTAATGCTTACTCGAAACTCACAAACCATGATCTATCCTATAATACCTTTTTAAGTTTGTAATACCCTTCTCTATCTTCAAGTGCAAAGAAACTCCATCACCAGTTTTTTTAAATATCAAATAGGTGATACGATTTTATGAGCAAACCAATGCATACATTTAGATATTTCTAACAACTTTCATCAATTACAGAGTCGCCGGTCTTGGCATGAAGATGCTCGAAGTGTAGAGATTCAACCTGCAGTTTCATTACATGGTTCTGAATCTGGCGGCAATGATTCTGATACAAGTTTAGAGGATATACATGCACAACCAATGCAAGGTAAGCTCTCCAAACTCTTTCCCATGAAACTTAACATAGCTACATTAAATTTTTTATGATTTGTACCGGTCTGTAACTTTACTGTACAGGTGGAGGATTTGCTCGAAGCTCATTGAGTTTGGGTAGTGCTGGTACTCGGCGTACTGTGTACTACACTGAAGAAGAAACAAATGAAGAAGAGCAGACCAAGGTTACTAATTGTTTTGTCAAGTTCTTCATCCTCTTGTTTTAACCCCTAATGCATAACTGCTAAGTTTTTTTATTTCTAAGTGTTTCAATATCTTTCGATGTCTTTCGTACAGGATGGTGAGCATGAAGACGAAGAAGAAGAAGAAAAGAGCAATCTAGATGCCATAGTCACGTCAACCCCAGCAGAGCCAAGGTTTGTTCATATCACTTCACTGAATACAGTGAATACTTTATTTTCTTTCTGTGTACTAAAATTTGAGGGATTTGTTTTAGGCTACTTGTGTATAATCGTATCTCTACTGTCATTGGGGAAACTCCAGGAACTTCTCAGTGGAATGCTGGGAGTCCAACCCTACCCATTCGGTCGCAATCTAGACAGGATGATAATAATAGCAAAAGAGGTGGCACATTACCTAGTACTCCATCCAATAAGTCAAATAAGGCACGTGAAAACTCAATTTGGTATGAGTATGGTTGTGTTTGACATTTTTGCAAAGACATGTAAGTAAACCGTTTTTATTTTACCTACTCCTACCCCCACCTATCTTCAATGAACGATGTTTTATTAAGTTCAATAACTTAGGTGTTTTGTCTATGTGATTATCATAAGTTGTAATACTTGTAGGTAGGCAATACATACTAATGTGGTCAAGGTGTGTCCTGAAATGAAGAAAACTTCATTATGTTCCTTAATCCAAAACAAAATTTGAACAATTTTGGGCTTGAATTAGAAAAGCTTCAATTGGAAGAGAAAACCAAAGACCCTTAGAACTATTTTCTGACTGGTTATATGTTGGTGTCCACCAATATATTTTTTTTATAGATATCATCTTAGTTATTTTTAATAAGATGTATGTTACTCTTTTTTATAAACCTTTATATACTTTTAAAAAACAAACAGAAATCTCCCAAAATGCTGTTTTTATTTGATTGCCATTTTGGTTCAAGATCTTCAACCATACATTGCACCAATTCCGAGGTGCAAGATTACTTCCTTCTGGTTAAAAACCTTCGTACTTCTCCATTTAATTAATGGCACTTTAAACAGGGTAATCTTTTTTTATTATTTAGTTTTATTACTACTGTATCTTTTCGGCCCTCTCGATGCCGAATATCAGTGTACTGAAACTCTGATTTTGCAAAATATTTTTCTTAGTCACTAGGAAGTGTTTTCTTTAGGACACGAGACTGATTATTGACATTGACTTGTCAATTTTGTGGTAGAGTACTCAACAATTCTGGTTCATTCACCACCTTTTAAGTGAGGGATCATATTTATTGTTGGAGACTCTTCATAATTTTATAAGGTAGTTTAAGTGTAACAGATCTTAAGATACCCCTCCCCCACGAGAGAAGGGCGCCCCTCTCTCCTGCCCCCCCCCCCCCCTTTTCTGTCGGTGCACGGTGATTTATAGATACATGTTATGATAAATATATGTATTTATGTACCTAATACCAGTAATATTATTGGTCTAATTAACTTGATTGTAGCTATAAACCTATCTTAACTATGCTTTGATATTTTTGCACGTTAGTTTCTTTTTATGTACTGTGAGCTATTAAACTTCATTTCGTTTTTAAATTTGATTTTGTTTCATCATCTCTTGTCTCTTACAAATGTGACAAATTTTAAAGTCATCAAATTTGCTGTCTCCAAACTGCAGCCGGTTGGAGGTTCACCTCTATCTTTTCCATTCTGCAAATGTTTTGTTTTATACTTACTATTGCAACAGAGGGAATCAGTTCTACTTTTTGATACTTTCAGAACTTGCAACGTATTGTAAATCTTCAGTTTATTTTCAGTCAATCCTACCTTTTACAACTTAAAGGAGGTTATAAAAGGCAGTTTACCATTATTTTTAGTCACAACATTTGATACATCAATGAAATGTAAAACAGACATATAGATTTGAACATATAAACAAATTGATTTAACAGCAGCCTGAGCATCTATGATTGCACACCTAAATAATCCAAAAAGTGATTGGAAAAACCAAAAACCAAACTATAGACGTCACTTGTCCAGATTAGACAGAAGAAACTTAAAGGCAAACTTCAGCTGAATTAAAAATAAATTAAGGGAAAGAAATTATCTCCCACCACCAATTGATAGAATTGATTACAAAATTAAAGTTAATTAAAGTGCAGGTCTGTAACTTTCATAAATGCTGCCAGGAACTGTTGAATATATATGAAAATATTGACACAATCAACTGTTACTTAGGCTTCTTTTTCAGCTCTGTGGTTGTGGGGTGGTGGGTGTCAGTGGGCTCCACCCTGGAGGAGGAGAGCCAACATATATCCCAGGTGATGCTGGGTACAGATAATGAGGAGAAGTAGCCATCATGGGATATTGAGGGGAAGAACCATACACACTCAAATCCCCATTAAGAGAAAAACAGGGTGATTGAGGGGTGTCTGGCATGTAATCTGTAGGAAATTGTAATCTGAGAGGACTGAAATAAGGATCAGACTCCACAGGAGAGTAGGGTACAACAGGACTAGTAGGGTAATACACATAGCCGAAAGGAGGGGAGTATGGAATAGACAAAGTTGGAGAGTTTTGATCATTGTTGACAGTGCTGTTTTGTGATTCACTCATGCCAGTTTCCTCTGCAGGAGGAATCAGGAGAGTTGGTTGGTGAACAATAGGCTGTCCTTCAAGTGCCTTTGCATCCTTCTTGGTTTTACCTGCAAGGAAACAAAAATTAGAAGTAAAACATCAACATAAAACACAGATTTCAAAAGATGACAGCCACAAACCCTTAGATTTGAATCTAGGAGGAACAGTAGGTTGTGGAGTAGCAGCAGTTCCAGATGTCGATGTAGGAGGTTGCGAGTTTGGTGGGGTAACAGAAGATTCAATGTCATTGCCTCCCGCCATGTTTGTACTACTGTCTTTCCTTTTGCGCCTTGAACTACTGGGTGGAGTAGTAGGTTCTGTAAAATTATAATAGAACTCATAACCATTTGTAATTTTAATAAGACATATTTTTCTGAACCAAAGTTGAGAGTTACCTAAGAGACGGTGAATTGTTGGCACAGTCGTTATACAAACTGGTCCACATAAACATTTTCCTGAACACATTCCTGGAGGATTTGGAGTTGAAGGAGAGGTCACAGTGCATGGCTGTGTGTATCCTCCCCAGCCATATTGCATACTACATTGTGCACGGTATACCTGCAAGTGAGAGTTTCTAAATTAAGTATTTCTTAAAGTGCCAAGCCGAGGGCATGATAAAAAAAAACTTACATCATTTCCAAGATTGTAGAAAAATCTTAATGTTTGTATGTCTGTAAATATGGTAAAAATCATAATTTGGTAAAACTATTTGACGTGACTTCTTTGATATGGTCTTAAAATTGAAAAATTAAAAGTTACCTGAAATAGGTAAGTCAGCTCCGTCATCAAGGACTGACTTCGGAGCATTGAAGTTAATTTGAGGTTCTTGCATGTTAAGCATGTTAAGATCAGGCAAGTAATTGACACAGTCATCTAAGGCTCCAATTTCCATTTGATTTTTAATATTTTCTACAGGAGTTTCAATACCTGTCGTTGAATGTGAAACTTCAGCTGTTCAGAGAATTGTTGGAATTAACATCATAGCATTTTTCACTGAAAACCATTTTGAAAGAAACCCGACAAATACCTGTTTCATCCAAGCTCAAGTCGGCTGAACTTGACATGTCATTAGTAGCAAGCCAATGAGCAGGAACATCTTCAGGGCGTGGACTCACTGGTATTAAAATTTGTGAACTGCCATGTTGCTGAGCTGACATCAGTACGTGTGTTTGAAGGGGTAAACTCATACCCAACTCCATGGTTGGCTAATGCGATTGCAAATTTAATTTAGTTCTATTAGGCTTAGCAAATCTGACAGTTTAAGCTGCTTGAATACTCACCTTGAACTGATATGGATGGTAAGCTCCATTAAGATTGAAACTATCAACTGAATAATTGGTAAAACTAGTCATGTTTGATTCTTGATATACACTGAGAAAGTGAACAAAAACTAATGTAAATGCATATCAGAAAACTGAAATATTGACATCAGCCATAACTTTGTTATTCATTATTAAAGATTAGTTTGAGTTGAACATTAACAAGAAACAGTTAATGCACTTGGGACATATCAAAGAAGTTTACAAACCATGTTCTGCCTAAATTATCACAACTGTTATCCGTAATGCTACTCTGGTCACTTCTAGAGGTGGTTCTCCTTCGCCCTGTAGATGTAAACACTTGAATACCATTAGGATCTAATATCTTTCCTTTAGTTTCATTGTCACTTCTTCCTTTGCGAAGTTTTGTACCTAACAAATGGTTAACTAAAGAAATCAAAGCCAATCTATAAAAAGGAGATAAAACTTTAAAGCTTACTTCCAGAGCTGCTTTCATTAGTAATACATTTATTTGTGTGAGCCATAGTTGATGAATTTCTTGAGTGGCTCACAGGCATCTGCTTTAAGGTGAGAGGTTCCTGAGGCAAGAGTTCTAAGTTTTCAAATGGTACAGTGCGCTTTTCACCAAGCTCCTCTACAAAGACAACAACTGGGCCCTTTTCTGGAGACATGTCCTGAATATGTCCAACAAATGTACTTTCTTCAATTTTGACTAGGCACTTTACTCCCACTTGAAGCTCATTATTAGTTCCAAAATAGCCTTGGCGTAGTCCTAAGTGAGAAAAGAAACATGATTTATATTAGTATAACACAAAACAAACCCTAAGTTACAGTAGATTAGACTCTCGCTCAATGTATTCCCCACAACACATCTACAAATTTACCTCTTCTGTAGTCTATCCATACATCAAATTCTACATTTCGAAATATATTGGGATCAAGGGATTTTGCTACTTTGTAAGGAAAAGGTGTGACTCCCTTTTGAAGTAAATCTCTAACATTTACCTCAACATCATCAAGTATAGCGTCAACAACAATTCCTTTCCTTTGAAGTTGAATGCTAGAAAGTTTCAAACATAGTGCATTAGGATACCAGTATTGATAGTTAATGGTACTTTGATACTACATATAAAGTGGGAGTGCATGCTGAAAAACCCAATAGATGATGCAAATATACACCTATTGCAACTGTAACTGAAGAATTTCCTGGACCCAGAAGATCCTGACTCCCCTCGGTGTCGCAGTGGTTTGTAATGAAGCATTTTGTCAACAGCATAGTCAACGTCCTTCATACCAAAGACATTCTTGTAGAGCATTTCATATACCAATGCTGAATCAAAAGAGAATGTAGATTGAAAACACAGGATATTACATCATGATTGAGACAGCTAATAATACACATAAAACTTACACTGGCAATAACCAGCCGTCTTTGTGAATTCTTTCAAATACACAGAGTCATAGTGACGATCAAGTGAGAAACAGAGCATTACTTTTTTCCCATAAAAAGTATTCGCAGCATTTTCCGCAGCTACTCCAACCTCCTTGAATATAAATATGTCAATCCTGGAACATAATGATAGTGGAAATTAATGTCTTTATTGCGTTGAAGTATGGTGAGAAATGAGACCGTACGCACTTGAAGAGATGAGAAAGTGCAGTAATTTCAAGCAAGCTCCCCCAACAAGTAGGATTTTGAAGATGTTCCAAGTGAGTTTCAATTTCTGTTTCTATATTGATCTAAGAAAAATATAAAACATTGAAAAGCAATTAATGTAGCCTACCATGATATGCATGCTGGATTGCTGGATAGTAATTAATGTTTACAGTACCTCATTGAAAAGTTCCAAATGATTACGTAAATAATCAATACACAATTTCCTTACATCTGGGTGAAATTTCTGAGTGTAATATACCTATAGAGGTTTAACAATAATATTTCACATAATCCAGATTTTTATATTTTCCTTCTAATACCGCATAGGTTGAGGTGACAGAACTACAAAGGCTTACCTGTTCTGCTATTGCTCTGAACAAACAAGAACCATCTCTGGCTGTCAACTTTCTGTAATATCCTTGTGTTTCAAGCCACAAATCCATGGGATCTGGGTGGTTGGCGAACTGCCTCGAGGGGGCCATACCTCATAGGCTAATAAAAGAGAATTTAAGATCAGAAACACCTCAAGCTCAAATCTGTAGAGTGACATCCACTAGCATTGTTTATCTAATCTGATTCTACAAATATATTCCAGATGGTAACACAGAAATAACCCGTAGCAACTCGTGTACTGGAAGTAGAGACATGGCATCAGATATCAAAGAAAATACGGTACCTTCAGTAACGATAAGGTTTGCCGGATGGGTAAAAACCTCTTTACGATAAAATACTTCAAATCAATTCAGTTATATTTTGTCAAATTTACTTAAAACAACTCAAACAATAAGCAGCAGTAATTCTTGAAGCTGCGTGGCCCGTTTGACTGTTCCTGTTTGAACACAGGTACCGGAAATAAAGGACGAAGAGCGCTTGCTGAACTTAGAATAATGATTTTAGAAAAATATCTTTGGGACAGTGTCTGCGAAATTGATGAGTTTTTTAATTTGTCAAAGCAACCCTCACTTAGACCAGCAGGTAAGTTTTGTAAACCTTTACGAAAGGAATTGAAAAGAAAACATAATGTGAAAGATATCTGGTAGGTTGGTAATAGGTGCTGCACTTGCTACCACCCTACGGCAAATATTTGTAAAGATACAATGGTTTTGTTTATATCTTAAAAAATACATTTGAGTGGTTCAAGCATTTTGATGAGTTAAATTTAAATTTTAAGCTTACAGTTTTCCATAATCAAGCAATTGTAACAGGTTATAAGATTTTCTGCATGCGGCAGAATTTTTGTTACAAAATGAACCACTTGTTGTTTACGTTTTGCAACGGAACTTGGCGCGTCCTTCTGGCCGGCCCAAGGCAATAGCCAGAGAACTTTGTTCATTTCACTTCAAATGATCTTCGACCGTCGCTATGTCGTCGAATTTAAATTCGTTTGTGTTGGATCAGCCTTCTTTCTTACAAACACGTGATCCAAGTATTAATGGCTGGGACCAACGAGTACGTTTTGTGGCACCTGTGCGAAAACAACTATTCAATGGAGTGCTCGAAGAGGAGGAATTGGAATTGGAAGAAAGCAAATCTGAGAAGACTAATTTCAACACCTATCTTCGATTGAAACCAAGCTCCGTCCCCGCAGACCAGGTCTTGATTTATTATCTCTCTCTTTTCTCTGTGGAAGAGTTCTTTCTGAACGTTTCTATCGATACGCTGAGCAACGAGTGTTGATTTGCGGCTGTAATATGGTTGTCTATTTTGAAATATTATTGGCCAGGTTATACCTGGTTACTATGACCTGCTTTGAACTTCATATTTGATTTTGTAACTGACTTTATATTTGCAGGCAACGTTCTCTGTCCTTAATGATACAACCGTTGTCACAAATCCTCCGAAAGAGTCTGCAACCTTCAAGAATAAAATTTCAGGGAGAGTGCTTCATCAGTATGTTCTTAATACATTCTTAGGTTTTATTGTGTTTTCTACCTCTTCTGATTGTGGTGCTCTTCAATATTACTTTCATTCAATTTCAGGTACACTTTCACTAAAGTGTTAGGCCCTAATACAACACAGAAAGAGCTTTTTGACGAATGTGTGTCATACCAGATCAAAGATTTTATTCTTGGCAGAAACTGTCTCATGTTTGCTTATGGAACAACAAATGCTGGAAAAACTCATACCATCCAAGGTTTTAATTTATTCTCACTAATCTATTACTCTAAGACAGAAGTGTGACTTTAATTCTGCCTCATTTACTCACCAGGTAATGGATCAAGTCCAGGCGTTATTCCAAGATCCCTGGATTTATTGTTCAAGAGTATTCGAGGTCAAGTATCAAGCGTAGGGCGCTACAAACCAGATAAAGTTGAAGGCATTGTTCAACTTGATTCTACTACCATTGCTCTTGAACTAGAATATAAAAACCGTATTCTTCAGTGGAATTGGGATAAGGTAACAAGCAAATATTAAATCTTCTAAGAATTATGCAATGCATATATTAATATTTCTCAAATTCTGATTAATTTATAGCCTCTAGAACCAATCAAGTCTGGAGTTACAACCTCGTCTTGTGATATAAGTGGAGGGAGTGAATCAGGTATGGGCCTTGTTATCAAATTCAGTAATAATCCTTTAAGCAAGATTGTGTTATGCACCATCGGTTGTTATGTGATTTCATCATTTCAAGTGATAAATAGTAGTAAAAAATAATAGTAAAAAGTAGTTTAAAAAAGCATATAAAGTTATTTTGAAAACAGTAACTTTTAAAGGTAGTTCCTGAAGTATTTCAATTTTATTATTTATGTTCTCATTAAATCTCTTTCATTGTTTTTCTTTTTTAGATTTCATTTCAAATACCTTTAGAGAAATGCAAAAAACCCTTTCCAATGACTCCCCGATTGATATGTCTACTGAGGGGGATGTTGTTTATGGTGTTTGGGTATCATTTGCTGAAGTGTACAATGAATGCATATACGATCTCCTTGACCCAATTGTGATTCGCAACCGTAAGCGAGTTCCACTTAAAATGTCCCAAGATGGAGATGGCAATACATTTATTAGAGGTATGGAGTATGGTCTTTTAATAATGGAGTAAATTTTTCTTTTGTGTCCATGTGAACAGCTGTTGATTCTCCAACTAATTACTTACTGTCATTTATTGTACACATTCCAGACCTTAAAATGGTTCATGTTTCTTCTGGAGACGAAGCCTTTCATGTGATGTTGTATGGAAAAGCAAACCTTCAGGTAGCTGCCACTAATAAAAATATGCTCTCCAGTCGTTCACACTGTATATTTAGCATTAAACTTGTACGGTATGCTAATTCTGATGACCCGACGTGGGCAGTAGTAAGCTCGTAAGTTGTGTCAATAATACATAGTTTGAGAGGTCAGGGGTAGCTGCTAACTCAAGATTGGTTTTGTATCAAATAGGTTCACCTTTTGTGATTTAGCTGGGGCCGAAAGGGCTAAAAAAACATTGAATGCTGGAGACAGGTTAAAGGAATCCAATAACATAAATTCCTCTCTCCATGTGCTTGGCAGATGCTTAACTACCATCAAGTATGTTGCTTTTACTTAATCTAATCTAAAGCATTTTTTTCTTTAGAATTGTTCAAACTTTTAGTATTTTGCCAATTACAGAGAGAACCAAAGGAAGAAAGAAAGAAAACCAGTTCCATACAGGGATTCAAAACTAACCAGAATATTCCAGAGAGCTCTTACTGGCCATGAAAGAATCACTATGGTTGTGAATGTGAATACAGCCCCTATTCTTTTTGATGAGACTGTAAATGTTCTCAAGTTTTCTGCAATCGCCAAACAAATTGTTTTGGAAACCCCTATTAAAAAGTCAAAACCTGTGGCCAAGAAAAGTCGTTTCTCCCTAATGGTTACCAGGCCTAACCATCATGGCACTATTTGCTGGGATGCCCCGCTAAATGGTTGGTACACATTTTCTTTGATTATTTTTTCTTTGATTTTTGCTTAAACCTAACTTTTATTCAGATCGTGACAAGAGTACAGACTCGCAGCATTCTGATGTTAATATCCAGAAATATAATGCTCAAAATGAGGTAATGCACCTATTACATTATTTTTAATGCATCTGTATTTGAATGTTTTTATTACTCATTTTTATGATATTACTTATTTTATAATATATACACTTGAAGAACCCTAGTTACCATCTATTTACATTACTTTTACAGGAGCTGTTGATCCTTGTAGAGAAGCTAAAACAGCAGTTGGTTCAGGAAAAAGAAAAGAATCTAACTCTGGAGAGAAACATAAGACAAACTATGACGCAGTCTTTTTCCAAAATGATAACAGACATGGAAAATTCTTACAAGTAAATACTTTTGAAGCTTTTTCAAGCTCTTATTTTCATATTTATGCTATCTTTCAACATTTGGTTAATTTATCTTATCTTTTCAGAAATAGATTGCGAGATGCAGAGGAACGTAGCGAGAATCTCGCGAATTGGAGGATAACTGTAGTTGAAAATTTCTACAAACAGCAGTTGGAAGGATCCCGTAAACGTCGTCGAGATTCGAATGCTGATGAAAGTATTGTAGAGTGTGATAGTTCTGAACCAGTAAGTAATGTAAGTTTTGGTTCCCAGTACTTCCATTTTTCAAATCTAATACTTCTAAATTTTTCTAGACTCATCGTGTACAAGAGCTAGAGGAAGAAGTTAATTTATGGGAAAATAAGTACAGTGCTGTTCACGAACTATTAAAAGAAGCTCAAGAAATACAAGCCTCACTTACAACTGAAAACTCCACTCTGAAATTCGAATTATCAAACATCAAAGGAGAATTGGAACAATGTCAACGTCAGCTGTTGGTGAGTTGTTTTCCCTATTGGAGATTACAGTTCCTTTGTGTCTTACAGAAGTAAACCTAACTTATGTTTCTATGATGACTATCAGGCTTCAGAAATACAAGATGATGGGTGCAAAGATTCTCTTTCCACGGAGCTTTCTAGACAACTAAAGAATGAAAAGGAAACAGTTTCCAACCTAAAGAGGAAAAACGAGGTGATTTCTACTACTGCATTTCTTTTGCCATGCTGTATGGTATGTGTATTTCACATCTCATGTTAAAACGTGTTACAGAATTTTGTAGAGCTTTTGGAGGAAGCCAAAAACGATTTTAAAATGATGAACAAGGACTGTGAGGAAGCAAATACTAAGGCTGAGGAGCTTCAAAAAGAATTAGTAGAAAAAGTATGTATGGACCTACCTATTGATAACTTTTTCTCATGGTAGGAAATCTTTTTCACTGTTTTGTTTGCCTATTACAGTATGATGAGGTGGCTGAACTTACCCATGACTTGGAGGAAACTCAGCTGTTGCTGCTTCAAAAATCAAGATTGTATGAGAAACTTGAAGCGCAACATGAATCTCTTCTAAAGGTAGCAGTTTTGCTGATTTTTAAAAAAAGTTACTTTTCTGCTTTTCCAATTCTAAATTACTACCCAATATCTACTTTCCGTTGCTTTAGATCCATGAAAATTGTGAGAAAACATTGAAAGGAACTACTTTATCTTCTGAGGTAAAATATATTCCATTGTAGTGTACCAATCTATTTTGAATATTATAACAGTTCTCTTTGTTTTTGTCCCCTTAAGGATCATGAAGAAACACAACGTGCCGTCGAGGAGCTACAAGGATTACAACTTAAGCTAAAATCACTCTCAGTCTCTGATGATCTTGTGGACAATACTGGTTGTGAAGGCTCGAAGGCACTTCTTACCATTACCCACTCGCTCTCTGGATCTGTAAAGTCAAAGCTTGAAGAAAATGATGTTCTCATCAAAAGAGTCAAAGAGTTAGAGGAACTCCTTCAAGAGTTGAATCAAACAATCTCAAATAAGGAAGAGAAAATTGATGCCCTTGTGACTCAAATAAGTTCTTTGGAATCTGATGTAAGTCGCCTGAATAATGTGCTCAAAGAACTGGAAAGTGTAAAAGATGAGAAAAATCAGTTGCAAGATGAGACCAAATCCCTCCAGAAAGGTAAGTGTCCTATTCTTTGAGTACTCCTACCCTTTCCTACTTTACTTATTTTATACATGTTGTCATTTCTTCTAGATCTGAAGGCTACACTGCAGAAAAACATGAAAATGCAGGAGAAGTTGGTGGAAACTCAATCAGAACTTGAAAACAGCCAAAGTAGTTCAAATCGTCTAGAACAGGAACTGAAATCTCTCCTTCAAAAGTCAAATTCTCAGTTGAACATTAGGTAAGTCGTAGCAATCTTTGTAATCCTTACTGATCCCTTCTGTTATGCTTTTACATTTCCTTCTTATTTGCAGTGTATCATCTCAGATAGAAATAGAGACATTAGGCTCTAAAGTTAAAACCTATGAAGAAACCATGAAACTTCTTAAGGATTGGAAGGAAGGTGCAGATACTGAAATTGACCAATTGAAGAAAGAATTGAAAGAATCAAGAGAAGAAAATCAAAGGTTCACAGAGACACTGCAAGTCAAGGTTGGTACAGTATGTAATTATGTTGTTTGCTGTATTGAAAACTTCAACAGAAGTCTTTTACTGTCATTGTAATTATTTTAGGAGGCAGAAATTGAGAAAATTATGAACCACAGAACAGAACTTATAAACCGATATGATCTTGCCACTAACAAAGTCCAGGAAGAACTCGATAGGGAGAAACGAGAAGTAATTAGATTACGTGATGCTTTATATAAGAGTACTCCAACTCCTAAAAAGAATGATAGTGTAAGTTTGTACCATTGGCACTTATTTTCTTAATGTTTGATTTAAGTGATCTCTTTACTGTGGTGCCATGTTGCAGGCTGAAATACGTCGTTTGAAAGACCTCGTGGAAACTCTTCAAGCTGAGCTGTCCCACCGGAAAAATGATGTAGGTGCTTTTAGTTGTGCATTCTGAAGAAATCCTTACTCTTGAATTTATCTCTAGTTAACATTTCAATGATGAAAATTCCAGGATCAGCAATCTGCTAAGAAGATTTCCAGAAGTGCAAGGAAAACATCTAAACAAGAATGCAGTAACAGTGAAGAGTCTATTGACAGTCTTAAAGTATTAAAACAACTCATTTTTTATGCTTTCTATTTTAAAGCAATCTTTAAATCAACCTCACATTTTATGTTTTTTATCTATCACAGGAAAATGTGGAATTCACAGCTCCACCATCTGCATCCAAGTCAAAAAGAACTACACATGCTGATACTAAATGTGTCACGAGTTCCAATAATGAATTGTAAGTTGCTTTATTAAATTACTGTCTATAACCATTTAGCCAAAGTTTACTGACCATTCTGTGTTCTCTTTCACAGAAAACTTGCCGAAGAGTTAGCATCTTCTGTTGAACAGCCTGGTCAGTACATTCCATAGTTTAGTTCATTGTTTTATTATTCACTAAATAACTTTTCCTGTATAATTGTGTTATGTTCAACTATTTTTATAAAATTTAATTCAAGTTCCAGAAAGCAAACCACAGAGAAGAGCGCGCAGACTTTTTAGCAGACAGCAAACTTCATCCTTTGACAGTGAAGTAGAGCTAGAGGTAAAAAGAAGGCATATAATTCCTACCTATACACTGTATACAGCTTAAGTTCCATAAACCAATAACTTTATTTCTGATTTTCAGGATGGATATCTACCAGCAACAAAACCGGAGAGTTTAATGAAAAGATCTTTACGTAATCGCAAGGATTAGAGCATTTTGTGATAGTGTACGAAACTTGTATTAGTTTTATTTTTACTCGATTTTAGTTTTAAAAAGCTCTTGTTATCCCTGTTCTATCAGTGTGTAATGTGTGTAATTTTATAAAACTTTTTATTATCATTTTAATTTTTCTCAAATTTATTGATTCCCCTCTACCTTCCCTACAAATTTCAAAGCATATTTACATGCTTCAACATGTGGTACAAAAGTAACAGTAGGATCGCATTGCTAAATATTTAAAACACGCAATGGAGTATCCTGCCCCTTCACACTGCTTACAATTCCGTATCGCGAATAGAAACACGATCGAGGAGTACTTGGAAAAAGCTCAAGGTGGTGACTTAGAGGCGACTGAATGCTTGAGAAAAGATTTCCCGCCATAATTGTAGCACCGCCTTGTGTCGACAACTGCCTCCTCTCTCCTCACAAACAGCGAAGGCGCAGGCGCAAGTGACTTCTGCTTCTGATAAAAATTTGAACTGAATTGCATTAGAATATTCGGCTACACGTTTCATGTATTTAGACATTTAATCTTGCTTCTACCAGGAAATGGAAACCCTGAAGAGATCTAAAAGAAAAAGGTATCTGACAGTTGCTCTGTATTAAGAAAGAAATTATTGTATTGAACAAGGTTATTATTTCTGTCCACAAAAATTTGTTACTTGTCCTCTTATTTTACATTTTTGGTTTCAGGGCACCAAAGCAATCCCTCACTGATGACTTCGACTACGATGCTCCTAAAACAGTAAAGAAACTGAAGCGGAAGAAACAACCGCAATGCACCTCAGAAAATCTTAGTGGACTTTATCAATGTGATCATTGCCCACTGTCTTTTCAAAATGAAGAACTCCTTTTTAAACATGAAGAAGTGCATTTTGAGACTGAGCATGTAAATGTGTGTGGGGATTGTGGACTTGTGTTTGCTTCCAAAATGTCCTTGCATGCCCACAAACGTGTGAAACACAAGGAAAAGTTGAGCTCGAAGGGTCCACGTTTCAAATGTCAAGTGTGTGATAAAATGTTCCTCCATAAGTCAGGCCTACGAACTCACTTGACTATTCATACTGGGGAGAAGCCATTCAAGTGTGATGTATGTGGACTCGAATTCAGACTTAATAGTAGTTTACAACGTCACATGTGCAAAGAGCACTTTAGTTATAAGCCCTTTAAGTGTGACCAGTGCGGAAAAGATTTTAGTCATAACAGTGACTTAATGCATCATGTGCGGTCAGTGCATGCCAAAGAGCGCCTCTTTGTCTGCCAAATATGTCATGAAAAATTTACTACTAATGTTGTTCTAATGAGGCACATAAATATTCATTTTGAGTTAAAATTAAATGAATGTAAAGTATGTGGAGCTAAGTTCTCTCACAGTGGATCATTATATAATCACATGAAAGTTCATAGTGAAGAAAGAGCATATCAGTGCCCAACTTGTGGAAAAAGCTACAAACTGAAATCTCACTTAAAAAATCACAGCTGTAAAGTGAATTCCAGGCATCCTAGAAAAGATACGTCATTAGGAAGCTCAAGTAAAAAAGGTTCAATTGATGTTAATGATGTGGAGTCAGAGAAGTCACCCAAAATAGGGGCTCATCATGAATCAGTATTTAGGCAAGAATTTAAATTGCAAGTCAGATACCCATGAGCGATATGTATTCTGCTGTGACATGTGTATTAGTGCATCTATTATCTGATATAAATGTTCATTTCATGTTCCCTGTAATTTTTATTTTATTAATCTGTACATATCACAAGTAGAAAATTCATGGACAACCGTTCCTCCAAGATCATACACAAAATTGGAAAATTGTTGGCACATTGATAAAACAAAGTGATTTGAGTCAAACATTAGCGTACACAGACAAATAATATCTATATCTTTTGTGCATATGAATTTTCTTTGTCTGCTAGGATTCTCTCTCAATTTGCTTGAGACTAATGTCAGATCTAGGGAAATCCAGTGGTCCAGAGTATAGAACTGAGGGAGGATTTTATCTTAACAGATAACACTTTGCTTACAAATAGACACTTTAACTGAAGTTTTATGAAGCTCTTGTTAAAATCACATCATATAATAATACAGCCTTTCTATTACTAATTTCAAATTGTCTTAAATTCATTTAACTAATGATAAAACCATTACAATTCATGCAACCTTTTGCATGTCTTGACACAACTGATAATTTTTTTAAGCGGTTTGTTACCAGAGTATTCTGGTTGAAATCACTAATACTAGCATTCACACCTTGTATGACTAGGACTGCAAAAGTAAAAGAAGACTTTGTGTTGGCTTTGAATGTTTAAGTAAGATGATAATTTGTGAGAAATTGCCCTACACATAAAATAATAAAAACCTTGATATAAGCGGTATGAACTACTCTAACTGAATTTGATCTACAAACATTATAACAAGGACATGAGTCATATAATTGTAAAAAGAAACATCTCAATAAATACTACTTAATTATAATACATCACATATGCTCAGAAACAAAACCCCTTTTAAGATTAGTAATAAAGGGACTCAAAACTCTCATCTCTCAACTACTTCACTTGGGATTGTTTTAAGAAAGGTAACTTCATATGGAAATTCACTGTTAAATTGTAGACTTGACATGGACATATTTTAAGGAGTCAGCTACAATTATATGCAATTTCATTTTTATAGCCCGCAAAGAAACTGATACTTCCAAGGTATAATCTGGTCCAGTCTCCCCCCCCCCCCCCCCCCCCAAAAAAAAAAAAACACCCTTTTTTTCTAAATTGACATCTTGACAAATCAACAAACCACCCAAACGGAACTAAGACATATGAGCTACCTTATTTGTTTTAGTTCATTGCCACAGCAGTCATAGGAGTTTAAATGGCACTGTGATTACCTCCACAATGGCTCATACTTTGGTTGTAACCCGAACATGGCGCATCGGTCCAGTCATGTTGTTCATGCAACACTCTGCCAACAGCATCTTAGCGCCGGTGATCCAGCGGGATGGGAGGCTCACTGGCGTTGGAGCTGAGTGCGCTGTCCATTGAGGTGAGGGTGAGGTGGTTGGGGTCGTCGCTGTCACTGCCCCGGTGCTGCTGCTGGCTCTCACTTAGTAGCGCTTCGTGGACCTCGCCGCCAGAGCCTCCTCCTGCAGGGGGCTGTGCCGGCAGCATGCCTGCGTTGGTGTCCTCGATGGCTTTGCGGAGCTGTAAATGTAAGGGGCAGCCATGCAAATCAATGTTGACTTCATAGCCACAGCGTCGTAGCCACAGCCCATGAAGAGTTTTACCTCCTTGAGGCCGACCACACCGATGAGGCGGCCGGTGGCGGTGACGTAGGCGTGGTTCACGCCCAGCATGGAGAAGAGGGAGTGTACTTTAAGTAGCGACGTTCGTTCGACGAGCTGAAAAGGCGCGGGGTCGATCTGCACTGTCCGCAGAGCCACCGGGACCTCCATTTCCTCCTCCTCCCACATCTTTTGGTCCTCAGGCGACATGTCGATGACGCGCTCCTTCGGCTTAACGGTGACGAGAAGGGTGAAGGATCTCTCATGAGTTTATTTTTAACGAGCGTGTGGAGAGCTCCACATACCATGTGGCTGACTCCCGCCGCGCACTTTCGTAGTCAAGTTATATACTGTACCGCATGCGCGCGTGCGAGTAGGTTGCCTACTCGCACGGGGCGATAAGGAGCCGTGGGCAGCGACGATAGGCAAGCCCGCCCGCACCCGCGCATGCGGCAGCGGCAGAGTGTGACTACGAAAAAGCGCGGCGTGAGCCAGTCACCTTGTTCAAAGATACGTATCGGCGTATCGTCGTGCAGGCTTCAAATACAAATGTCACACCACTCACCAGTTGGACCTTCTTGTAGGGGCTTGGGCTTGCCGGCGTGGACGACAGAGGAATGTCGCCAGGACCAGCTCCGGGGATGGTGCCGTTGCTGGCATTTACGCTGGCGTCACCGGGGTTCACGTCCTGCAGCGTCGTAGACTTTCTGAAGATGGCGTCGAAAGCTAGACGGATCCTGAGAGGGAAAGCCATTAACGATGTAGACGGACTCACTACAATCGCAATGTACAATTTCGCGTGGTGGTATTTAAAGGCCATGGTCCTCGTGGTCCTCGTGAAGGCACTCACCGGCTCTCTGCTCCCGTAACGGTTGTATAAGGTGTAAGGTTTGGGCTGTTCATCAGAGGGCCGAAGCTACTGAGGTTAAACGAGTTTGTTTTCTTCAGAATGGACTTTTTAGGCTGAGATCCAAACACCGGGTTAAAATGCGGCTGCAATGGGAAGAAACCGTTTAATTTACAGATGAATGTTTGTCCATATGGCCGCTGGCAGTGGTCTCCCTACTTACTTCTTTGTGGTTGGAGTACTCGTGTGCGGTGCGCAAGTCGGTATTGGACTGCTGCTTGATCTTGAGGATGTCGGGGGCCGGGATGACCTCGAAGCGGGAAGGGCGCCGCTGCCGCTGCTGCGCCTGCTGCTCCTCTTTGCGCCTGCGCTCCTCCTCCATGGCCCTCTCCTGCGCCTCCCGTTGCCAGCGCGCGGCCACCTGCAGTCGCCGCTCGCGCCCGATGTGCTTGTCGATGAGTTTGATTAGTTCCAGACGCTGGATGGAACCCAGCAGGATCATGGAGTCTGCGAGAACAACGGAATCAGTGAGTCGCGATGTCAAGTTGCGCACTTTATCACTTGAAGACAGTGTTATATTTTATTCCTGCCTGGCTTGTCGACGAGGGGGAAACTCCTGAGGTTCTTGTTGTCCTTCAGGACGCCCTTAAGGTCACAGTATCGCATGCCGTTCCAGATGTACTTGACCTCACGCACCATGAAGTCTTCCACGTACACGTTGTAAATGCCTGAGCTCGACGGCAACAGGTCCGGGAGGTACGGCAGCTTCTTGATTAAAATGATGCTGTCGTACAACGAGGGCTGGAGCAGCGCGGCGATGGCGTTGGCGATCAGCACAGCTATCTGCATCCAATACGTTGCTGTTATTGCCAACCTACACAGAGCACCCTGCACTGACGCGCACTCGCGCGCACTCACCATGATGGGGATGATATGGGTGATCTGGCCCGTCATTTCAAACACGATGACAGACACGGAAATGGTGTGGGTGACGGCGCCGGAGAAGGCGGCCGCCCCCACCGTCGCGTAGCCGCCAGGGATGATGGCGGCCTGCGCGCTGCCGTAGCGCACGCCGGCGGGGAACCACAGGTGCATCAGCTCGCCCACGGTGCGGCCCAGGGCGGCACCTATCTTGAAAACGGGGATGAAGCTCCCCGACGGCACCGGGATGGTGGAGGCGATAATGGAGAAGAGAAACTGTACACAGGCGTGGTGAAGCGCTGGCATGTAATTGCGAAAGTTATGATTTCGGCGGGGGTAGGGAATTCCCTGTTTTGAAATTTACGCCTACCGTGAAGATGGTGAAGCCAGCCAGGCTCCAAAACACCCCCGTGGTGTCGGTTTTCCAGTGTCGCAGCACGGCGTTCTCCTCCACGGTCAGGTCGTTCTTGGTCCACGTGAAGTTGCTGAAGAGGCCCGCCACCTGTAACAAGTGGCCGGTGTGCCGCACTGGGGCTCAACAGACTCGCCACGCCGCTCACGCCCTTGTCCCACACCCCGGCCACCGAGCTCACCTGGTCGTGCGTGTTGATGTCTGCCGCCATGAACTGGCCCAGGCCCTTAGGGAAGGTGACGGAGGCCACGAGGAGCGCCACCAGCCCCGGGTACAGGAAGCGGCTGCAAAAGTACGGTCAGCGTCACTGGGCAGCTCACTCGCCATCACGCCGAAGACGACAAAGATAGAGATGCGTACTTTTTCTGCAGGAAGGCGTTCATCCTCCTGTTGCGCCTCATGAAGGTGACGTACTGGCGGTGCACCCACACGTAACCCGCCCCGCCCAGGCCGCACATGACCCTGCGCAAGAAGACGGGGCCCCACTTACACTACCAAAGTGTACTCCAGCTAGCGGTATTGAAAAGACGGGGGAAAGAGCAAACAAGAGCTCTAACTCGCCAGGAGCGTGTCGTCGCAAGGTTTGCACTTCTCGTGTACCCACATGTTCATGTATTATTCAATATCAAATATTCCGTCAATAAATGCCATACCAAACTTTTCTATATGCAGATGACGAGCTTCTTACCCTATCAAGGAGAATACAATTAGTTCCTGGGGGTCGAAGGGGAAGTCCATGGTAAAGCTCGTCAAGAACATGGCCGTCACGGTGACTGGAAACGGCAAGGAGGTGAGTCAGAGAAGAAACGGCTCTGGAGTGGGTCCAGAAACAAGTACAATCATGCATACCTTCGTTGTTAAACCAGACTCCAAGCAACCTGAACGCGGTTGCCCCGCACACAGCGGCAAAGAAGCCCCGCCAATAGTTTCGCACCGCAAAGTACACCGTGGTGACCTCGATGCTAAACAAGACGCCTGCAAGGAGCCAAAGACTAATTAGACGAAGCGGGCGTGGTCGGTAACTTATAGCCTCTGAGGTATCTAAGAGAAGACCTCACGGTGCGCCAAGCGCCTGGCGGGTAGGCAATGGGTGCGTGTGCAATACACTTGTGTGTCGTACGGCGGATTTTGCCTACCTACCAGGCGCCCTACCTCCAACGCTCCACTGCGGAACACGGTGGGCTCGCAGGACTCACCCCCGATGGGTGCAGCGAAACAGCTCGCCACCCCGACGGCGCACGCCGCTGCCAACATCTCGGTGTTCCTACTCTCGTTCTGGTAGATGCCCTGGAAGGAGGTGACGAGCTTGGAGAGCAGCGTGGCCGCTATGCTGGCGATGTGCACCAACGGACCCTGCGCATTCGGCAGACAGATACGCGTTAGGTGTGTCTCCTACAGGGTGCGGGGGGCGGCGCGCAGGGGCGCTCTGCGAGCAGACCCAGTACTGCACCTGACCTCTTTACCCAACGGCATGCCGCTGCCCAGCGTGGCCGTCAGCCCCACCACCTTGGCCGCCAGCGTGCGAAATGTCAGGTACTCTTTGAGCGCGACGCCACGCAAGATGGTCTTCATTTCGGGGATGCCAGAGCCTGCAACAAGTCAGGGGCGTGAGCGTTCGAGGAGGACTCCGGCGGCGGGCGACGGTGGGGAGCCGGTCCGACTTACCTATGGACTGCGGCGCGATGATGTGCACGAAGCCGGCCGAGAAGAGGATGAGGAAGGTGGGCAGGCTCACCCAGGCCAGGTACTGCAGGGCGATGTGCTGGGTCGCGATGTCCCTGTACAGCCATATCCGCGCTACAACAGACGAGGTGCTGGTCAGCCGGGCCCACGCCCACAGTCGGGCGGGCGAGCGCGCCGTGTGGAGGCGTGGAGCCGCGTGGAGCTCACCTCTGTTGCACATGCCGATGCCACCGTCCATGAAGAAGGAGAGCAGGGCGACTATGAGCCCGAGGAGCGCGAGGAACACCCAGTCCTCGCCGAGGCGCGCGAATGTGTTCCTCCATAAGAAGGCGAGCACGGCGAGCACCTTGGTGGCGCACTTGCCGCGGTACTTGCCGCTGTACTTGTCGAACTCCTTTTCCCGTAACCTTCAGAAAAAAAAGTTAATGCAGACGTAATAAGCCTGCTACGCGTTCGGAGCTCACGCACAGCCCCAAATCTTTGCGCACCCTTGACTCACAGCCTATCCTCCTCACCCACCCCTCTCCCTCTCACTTACCTATCTTCTTTCCTGCGTTTCTTTTCTAGTATAGCGAGTTTTCTTGCTTCTTCTTTCGCGTATTCACCGAGGTCCTTCGTATAGCGGCCATACATCTGGAACAAACGAGAGCAAGGGACCCAGTCAAGTTCCAATTGGCCTTAGAAGTCAGGGCAGGGGAATGGACGAGGTGGACCCAGCCCCCAGGGATGGACGCATGCGTGCCGGGTGGTCCGCGGCGTTGCCACCCACCGCGGTCTGTACGTAGTCCATGTCGTCGGGGTCGGTGCCCGGCGCGGGGGGCGGGCAGGGGTAGAAGGCCTGGGACACCTTCCCCCGCCCCGCCCTCGAGTCCCCGATGAGCTCGTGCAGGTCGCGGCGCGAGACGAGCGGCGAGGGGGCGGTGTTGATGCGCCGGCGCAGCCGGTACTCGGTGAGCAGGCGGTCGAAGTCGGCCCACTCCGAGTCCACGACGAGCTCCTCGTCGTCCAGGCCGCTCGCGGGCCCCAGGCCGGCCATGGGGATGGCGATGTCCGCATTGCCGTGCCCCTCGCCGTGGTGGCCGTGCCGGTTCTGGTGGTGGTGACGGTGGTGGTGTCCGCCACCGCTGCCCGACGCGGACTTGGATTTGGAGGCCATCTTGACGCGGTGGGGCGGGAGGCGGCGTCAGTCCATCCCGTGCACGCTGTAGGGAACAGGGTCGGTGCGTTGTTGAGCGGGGTGCGGCGTGGAGAGGCGCCACGCGCGCCCGGCGCGCCGGACCCGCGTTACGTCACGGAACCTGTTGATCGCGACGCGAGGCGGCCAGGCGCCAGGACCGGACCGGGCGCCAGCCGCGCACCGGCGGCCGCGTGCGCGGGGAGAGACGCTAGCGAATCTATGCGCCGAAACCTAAGTGGAAAATATTTTGTGTGCCATGTGTATGTGAATCTGGAGGAACGGGAAGTGAAGACAATATTTGTGGTGAGCCTTTCGCCCCTATCACCTAGACGAATTCCTACCGCAGGACTATTTGGGTTTGGGGACATGAAAAGTTAGCGACGTATAACTTGCGGAGCCCCCCCCCCCCCCTTTCAATCTACTTATAGGGAGTGCCAGGTGAAGGCGGGGTGTCAGCCCGGTCCCGGTCTGGGAGCGGCGGCGGGCGGCCCTCTCAAACGGAGCAGAGCTCGTCCCCGCCGTCACCCGCCCCCACAACACACTTGGCGTTAAAAGAGTTCTTCGTTGACCTCCGCGACACTTGAAGACAGCTGCTCAGCTTCGCCCCGCCCCACCCCGCCCCGCTAGTCCAGGAGTCGGCGGCCGCGTGGTGGCCGCAGTGGTGGCAACGACAACGACGTGGCCTCAAAAAAATTATCGTGAGTCGTCCGCGCTTCCGGTACACGAGGGTCGCGGGGGCTGGGGGCTCCTCGGCGGCACGCAGGCCGGGCCGGCCGGGCCGGGGGATGGCGTGCGGGGGCGCGGGCGACTAGCCCGGGACACCGCGACTTGCCGTTACACCCATTAAACGGAACGCGAATCATACAACTCAAATTCAAAGCAGTCCTGCCACCAAGGTAGAAAATGTGCGAATGCACAATCGTTTCGATTTCAAATCTTTTAATCGACGACGTTTCGTCTGACCCGCGTAGTTTACTCGCAATGAGTATCCGCGGTATTCATTGTGCGCTAAAAATCACAACACACAACACACAACAACACACACGCACGGAGTATCGCGTCTCGCGGTGGGGGGCCGCGCGCCTCGATGCGCTCTTCCGCGGGGCAGGACCAGGACTGGAGTGGCCGCCGTC